GATAGATAGATAGATAGATAGATAGATAGATAGATAGATAGATAGATGGATGGATGGATGGATGGATGGATGGATGGATGGATGGATGGATGGGTGGGTGGGTGGGTGGGTGGGTGGGTGGGTGGGTGGATGGATGGATGGATGGATGGATGGATGGATGGATAGATAAACAGATAGATAAACAGATAGATGATGGATGGATGGATAGATGATGGGTGGATACAGATGGATGGATAGATGGATGGATAGATACTCAGATAGGTAGGTAGGTAGGTAGATAGATAAAGATATGGATGGATAGATGGATGGATGGATGGATGGATGGATGGATGGATAGATAGATAGATTTGCTGGCATTTGGGTGGCATGTAGATTTAATCATTTTTATGTATTTATTTGTACCCTGTCTTTATTCACCATATGTTTAACTTAGTGAACACATTCATACCTTCCTCCTCCTATTTTCCCCAGAACAACCACCATGGGGGGTGGGTTGGGCTGAGAGAGAGTGACTGGCCCAAAGTCATGCAGCTGGCTTTCATGCCTAAGGTGGGACTAGAACTCACTGTCTCCTGGTGATTGTCCCAAAGTCATCCAGCTAAGGCAGGACTAGAGCTCATGGTCTTCCACTTTCTAGCCTGATGCTTTAATAATAATAATAATAATAATATATTGTAGCTGGTTGCACAAACAATGTATGTAGCCAGGAATATTAAATTCTGTAGAATTGCTGACAGGTCAGGTGGCATAAAAATGTAATAATAATGTATTGTTATTGTTATGTACATTATCTACTCTTTGCATATGTGATGTTGTGTAATACAGGCTCACTCCTGTTGTATTAACTTTAAACAACATTATTTATGCAACCAGCAAAAAAAAGGGTATGTTTCAACAACATTATTTTGAAGGGGCAAACATATGATATTCATATTCTTCATGGCCCATTTTACTACTATACTTTTAATTACCTTACTTCAGTAGTAATGGTCAGATAGCCAGAAAAAAGCAGTGCTCTTGAAAGCTAATCTATTTTTCATTTCTGCCACACAGATATAGATGGAAGGCAGTAGTACATATGGAATAGAATTCTTTATTGATTAAGTGTGATAGGACACACAAGGAATTAGTTTCCGGTGCATAAGCTCTCAGTGTACATGCAAACAACAAGGTGATAAATCATAAATCATAGTTACTATCATTAATCATCAGATAGAAACAACTACTGATCAGTCATGTTACTAACAGAAGGTAGTAAGGAACATGAGAAGTTAAGAAAGGATGAGAAATGAGAAGATGAGAAGGATAATACCAATACAGCCCTACTACATGGCTAAATATCTTTAAGCCTAAGGTGGTGCTGTGGGAATGAGGTCTTCAGCGGAGTGATGGCAAAACAGCCTTTGTATCTAGTTATTTTGGCATTTAGTTAGACCAGGGGTCTTCAAACTTGACAGCTTTAAGATTTGTGGACTTCAACTCCCAGAATTCCTCCTCCAGTCATGTTAGCTGAGGAATTCTGGGAGTTGAAGTCCACAAGTCTTAAACTTGCCAAGTTTGAAGACCGTTGAGTTAGACTATCATTAAATATTAGGCTCTAATATCCTGGGAAGACAGTTTGAATTAAAAAGGGGGAAAAAGGAAGTGCTATTTCCTTGAACCACGTTTTCCTCTAGTCAGGGAAATGGTTGCCATTTTTGATGTACTGTACAACTCCCCCTCTTTTTTTTTGCATTGATTCAGCATCTACTGTGCACCAATGTGCTTTATGAAAAATTCAAAGCTGTGCACCCCTAATATCAAGAAAGGAAGCCTATAGTCCTTATCCACCTTCTGCTTGAAGATGGTCAACTGAGCCAACCTTACATTCTCCCCTGATAACTGTCCCCATTGTCAAAATGCTGCTCCTGACAGGATGATTTCCATAATCACTGGAATCTGGCTTCTGGGATTTTTAAGAAAAAGTCCACACAAGATGTCTTTAGATTCTAGAAAGGCCCAATTGTCCACTAATCCTTGCCCTGCCTGTCTTTCCTTCAAGCTAACTATATCCAGTACTGACATTGTGTTTGCCCTTCTTTGCATCTATTTGTGTTGGGCTTTAACTCCACAGATCATGTGAATTTGGCCATTGTGCTTTGCAAACCACAAATTACACAGATGAGTGGCATGTGTCAACCCAGCCAGAGCATCTCTGTAGAAGGCTGAAATTCTACAAAAGTCAACTAGACAGAACTTGCTTCTGAGTAAATCTAGGCCTCTACAAAATGCCCACACAAAGTAGGAAGAAAGAGAGCTAATGCACACACCTGTTAGATAGCACAGCTGCCTCTTCTGTGTACATTTTTAAAAAAATCAAGAATCACCTTGTAATGCATGAACTGTAAGCTTTCAGTCTGCCTATAGTGGACAGCTGCATTCTCAGAGATTCGCAGGGCTAGGTTCCCAGAAAAGTGCCACGTTAAAGGAGCATAAAACAGACAGATGTAAATATTATGTAAAATATTGGCACTGAATTTATTTCTTCCCCAGGAATTAACCAAATGCTGATATAGAGCAATTGTTGTAATTTCTTAAAAGTTCTTGCTTTGTTAGAATAAAGGAAGGAAGGAAGGAAGGAAGGAAGGAAGGAAGGAAGGAAGGAAGGAAGGAAGGAAGGAGGAAGGAAGGAAGGAAGGAAGGAAGGAAGGAAGGAAGGAAGGAAAGGGAGAAAAGGAAGGGAGAAAAGAAAGAAGAAAGGGAGAAAAGGGAGAGAGGGAGGAAGGAAGGGAGAAAAGGAAGGAACGGAGGAAAGGAAGGAAGGGAGAGAGATGATAGAGATGATAGAGGAAGAGGTAG